TACAAGGTCATGTCACCCGTAACCTGCTGGTCTGTCGCTCCCATTAGGTTACTGGCAGGTTGAGATGCATGGTAATTAAATATCCGCCCTGGTGGTGGCCAGCTGTTGACTTCTGTCAGGAAAATGCCGCAGGGACTCTCCCCACAGGTGGATCTCGGTCCTTCTCGTATAAATCTCGCCATTTCCTTCCGCTGCTGAGCTCCTGTCAGTCTGCATGACGATCGACTTTAAGACTGTATTTGGAAATGGAAATAATCAATGGTAGTCTTGTGTGCTAAATTTTCTGTCAGGCATTTGCCGAAGACTCAGCCTGCCGGTGCTCACTGTTAGACGGTGGTTCTCTACGTTGCTATTGATGCAGTTTCCCTAAGAGCTGCCCCCGTTTTCAATCAGCCGCCCGTCTTGTGGGGGGGGGGGCCTGCAAATGGCCACAATCACAGGAGATCAACATGGATTTTTTGTGCGAGGATTGTGATTCATCCACGCTTGTGCATTAACTTTTACCACAGCTCTCTGTTCGGAGAACGTGCAGAGTACTTACTCGTAACTTAGTGAGGACGTGACTTGGTGATGATCGACTTTGATGGAATGATTCCGCAGTGGTCATTTTATTTTGCAGGTCCCTGCAGTTGCTAATTGAAAGTGATAAACAGGCTTTTCCTAACGACCCAGGATGTTTCACAGACAGATAGCTGGTAATTAGCTCATATTTACATAGAGAACGTGATCAGCAGGAAATATGCTGTAACTCCTGTGTTCAGGTGGAGTACAGGATCGCAGTGAGCTTGGAGGACACTCTCAGGAAGTGTAAAGCTCAAGACATGGAGGAACACACGTAAACTTCTCTGGGGGCAGCAGTCAAACCTCCAACCCGGATCCCCCCCCCCCCCCGTCACCCAAGCCAAAAATATTAACATTCACTATATTTAGCCGATGCTATTACATTTTTGAGAAAGCATGGTCAGTCAGTCCCAAGAGAAATTGAGGGTTAGGGTTAGGGGCCTTTCACAGTGGCTCAGCAATAAAATCACTCTCCCGATCTTGGGATTCAAACCATCAACCTTCCGATTAAAGACACAGGATCCCAATCTGATGATCCACACACTGCATATAAATAATGTCAAAAGTTATGTTTTTGTGCCTTATCTCTACACAGTAATTGTACTGTAATCGTCACATCATTTCAAATGCTGCCAGTTTCCTGCTCACTGTAGCTGAGAAGAATCACTGCGACACTTAAACAGCACACCTATAGAGGCATGCGGCCAGGAAGGACCTGCAGAGGCCTGCAACTCGCACTGAATATCAATTCTGCCTTTGATTGGACGAGAGCCCCAGCTCCCTTGTTGTGGAGGACTTGCGGGGGGGCTACACTGCGCAATTGTGTTTTTTTGTATCTGTTAAAAAAAAAAACCAGCTGATTAAAAACAGGGGGGCTGGCTACTCCTGCTGACTGGTGAGGGAGGGAGTCTGTCAGCATCGTGGGCGGGGGCCCATTTGTTGACGTTAGATTGAATTTAATTGGATATGCTGGCGAGGAGTTACAAGGGACAATAAGTGACAGTCCAAAGTCATGGGCCTTTCTAAATTCGATGTGTCCTATTTTCGCACAGCGGCATGCTGGGTAAATGCGTGTAGTCAGCCGGGAGGGCTTTGTGCCTTGATCACACCGCAGAATAATCATCAGCTGTCATTACAGCGACCGGATGTCAGTGACATTCATCAGTCACACCCCCGAAAGCCACAGCGCTGCCCGTGCCGTATAATCAGCCCCCTGTGGGTGCCCAGCTCGCCTCGATGGCACCGGGTCCGGAGTCGGCCGGGTCGGCGGGGAGTGGATCTCCGGCTCAGCAAGGCGGGGTCTTCCGCACCTGTGACAGGATCATGGCGGCATGGGGGACGGTGCTGTGTTCTGAGAGGGCCCACCGACGTGGAGGGGCGAGTTCTCCTGCGAAGCCACCATCTGCTCCTCAGGTTCCTCGCTGGTGCGGAACCTGGAATCAGCCGGTCCTGAAAGCGGCCGCCTGCTTCCGCTGGACAATCACCACCCCTCCACCCCCCAAACCCCACCCCCGTGCAATTCTTCTACGTCAGGGGGCAGATAGAAAGAATGGGGGGCCTTATCGTGGACCTGGCTTTACCGAACGGCAAGAAAGAAAAAAGAGACGTTTTGTGTCTTGAACACAAGGAATCGCCCTGGGAATCCTGGGAATCCGGCTCCTGGTTAGAGCAGCTGCTGAGGTCTGGCTCTGTGCTCCGGAGCCTGAGACGCTGGACGTAAATCTAGTTCATATCACTAATTATTAGGCCCAGGTAAATGACCTCACCCCACCCACGACAATTCAAACATAGGGGTGCATTACACCAGGTTGAGGGACGCTTTTGGCAAGTTAATTTCCAAAAAATACATCTCATAATTTCAAGCCATGTGTTTTTTTTTATTATTATTATTTCTACAAAGTCTGACATTTATACATTCGGATTGCATCTGAAAAACAAAATGAAACGGTAAAATCTGTCCCATTGATCCACCAGCAGCATACTGTCATCCACCCAACCCCCCCCGCCCCCGCCCCTGTCGGCCACAAAGCTGGCGGTGTTTCAGCACTCGATTAAATCAAATGCGCTAATTGATTCAATTAGGCAGCTGACAGTGTCAGAGCTGATGTTCGGGATGTCCTTTGGGTACCATGAGATCTGGCGGCCCTTGGCAGCCCTAAGCGAAGTGGCTGACGCCCGGCTTGGTGTGGCTTCTCAGTGTTGGGGAGTTTCTCTGGGCCTCCCTTTCTGTAACCCTGTACTGCGACAGCTTGTCCCCCCACTGACAACACACCCGCGCTTTACTCCGGGGGACTCGTCTCCGGGGAGATCTGTCATCTGGGAGGGGCGGCCCCCGCTGCGCATTTGGGGGCCTTTAAGCCGTTTGCCATGATTCAGGTGAGTGTGGTTTTAGAAGGAGACACACAGGCAGAATGTCACGGTGACCTGACGGACGGATGCAGTTACCATGGAAACCCCAGGTCTGTATCCTATGAGTTCCCTAGTGGAGAACCCTTAGCCGTGCCCGAGATGAAAATGACACAGAAACCAGTTTTAAGATCCTCAATTTTCTGGATTGCGTGGAAGCTGCGGACTTTTGCATGTGTTTGTCAGTCAATTACTGGCCACATAAATATTAATTGCAGAGTTTTAGCTATTCGGCACTTCATTTCCAAAGTACATGTCTTGCCACATCCTACATCTTTGTGGTGGCGTAGTTTATGACATGAATGATGAGCAGATGGTAGATTCAGCAGAACCAGTGGGACTTCTGCAACAACAGAATTTAAATGTCAGTTTTCCCAGAATTCAGTCTTCTGCTGTCAGATTGAGATGTGGCTTATCAGTACAAAGACGCAAGAGGAAGGCATTGGAGAGTTACATCCATCCCATAACTTCTGCCATGGCTCGAGTTCCCTGCCTTAGCAGAGATGAAGTTATATTTTGGGAATGGGATTTAGTTATTTTACAGAGTTGTGTGTTTTAAAGGAGAGAATTTGTCTGATGCCACAGCTGTTTGACAGGAGGACGGGGTGTTCCATGGGATACGAAATCGCTTCTGGTGATGTTGCAGCTTTGAGTTGAAATGAAAGAGTATATGGGCAGGAAAAACACGTATCACGGGTCTGATGAATCACAGGGGTCCTCAGCAGCTACGCCTGGCTGTCCCAGACCGTGCCTGTTCATTCCAGCAGTCACGAGTTTTCATACTTTGCTTGAGGAGCTCGGACGCCCATGCAGACTCTCTTGGGCGTTGGGTCCCCTTGAGGTTGAAATCGTCCGGCTGGCGTCTGCCGCCCCCACCTGGTTTTGGGATGACATAACGGACGAGCGGGAGGAGGTGATGAGGATATGGAGGTTTGCCGATACTGGATCTGTGAACTATGTGACTTTGTTATGGGCGTCACTTGGGTACGATTTGTACAATAAGACAAGATATAGGTCAATATATTATGTCAAAAATGTATGTCTTATAAATGTAGCTTTTTCAACTGCAGCATTGGGATGATTTGTTCAGCGTCTGTGGATCCTCGTGAGACCCAGAGCTGCAGAGTCAGGCTGTCGCTGTCAGGCTTTATCGAACCGCTGCTCGTGGGTCTTGAGAAGTGAGGAAGCTGCATTGTAAGACCTTCTCAGGGTCCGGGGATGGTTTGAGGTTTGGGGAACGCCAGGCAGGCTTCTCATTCCCAGATCAGTGGATAAGCTCCTCCTCTGAATCGCGGTCTATTAGGCGTGAGTAAGTGAATGACGTGTACGTGTGATGTGTGTGTGAGTGCACTCCTGTGCCAGTCACTTATCTGCAGCAAATTCTGTACACGCCACCATGGAATGTCCCTTTCAGCAGGTAAATGCAGCTGACAGGTCAGGATTGTTACCGCTGTCCGAGTGCTGAGTTACGAGGGCGGAATCCCGTGAGTGACCCTCTTTGGCCACTGGTCAGTATGGCATGAGGAAGGTCTGAAGGGGACAACCAACCTCAGTGTAGGACTCGGATGATAGGTCACTGAGGGAGAGGCGGTGAATGGAGCTGTACACCTTTCCAGCACGTCCAGCTTCTAGCCAGGATGTGCACATGCTTGAGTTATGTGAGAATGAGGCAGATCTGTATCTCCAGGGATTGTGGTGTCCACAGGCAGACCAGGATCTATGAGAGTTTTGGTCTCCTCTGACAGACCTGGATCTACTGCGCCTTAGTCTTCTTATATAGACTTGAATCTCCAGGGGTCTTGCTGTCCTCAGACAGACTGGGATCTCTGGGGGTATTTGTCAACCTTTATCTCTGAAAATCATGGTCTTCTGAGGCAGACTTGCATCCCCAGGGATCATGGTCTTCTCCAATGAAGGATGTCATCCTCCCATATTGATTAGTGAGTTGTTTTCCCCCGGTCCGGCTATAAGATCCCCGTTTCACTATCCGTCTGTCTCTCTCTTTCTTTCTTTCTCTCCCTCCCCCCGTTCAGTTGGGACGACAGTAGCTCAGTCAGCAGCGGACTCAGCGACACGCTGGACAACATCAGCACGGATGATCCAAATACTTCTTCCTACGCTGACATCACCGCCTCGCCCCGCAAGAGCAAGGAGCCCCAGGTAAACCTCTTCTGCGTTTGCATGCATCCATGTGTTTGCATGTGTCCTGGAGCGAATCGCTATCTGTGAGCAAAGGTGTACGGTCAGTGTAATCACCATGCCGTAATACTGTTGGTATCCATTTACCCGGATGGCTAGAAAACGTCAGAGAAGTACTGTTAAGAACTGTGCAATATTAAAATTGATTTCTCAAGGTACATGGAAAAAGAAATTGGACCATCAGAGGCTGGTGGGGAAAAAAATGACCCTATTTGGTCCTGACAGATGGAAAATGAGGCTGTCATTTTCAAAGAGTGGGGCTCGGCCCGCAGATGGATCTGAACTTGGTTTTTTGGCTGAGCTTCTCATGCCCGGCGTGCTCACCAATCAGTTCTCGCTCATTACTGATGGTGAAGACCACCTTCTCTGATGAAAAACAGTGAAGGAATCTGCATACCTGCCCCCCCTTCTGGGTGCCATCTAAATTACTGCCAATCGCTCCATCTGGGCCTCCGCTGAGAATATGTGCCCTTTAAATACCATGATAAAAACGATAAGACAAAGTCAGAGTGAAGCGATGTATTTTTCCTTCCCCATAAACGAGCGGGAGGAAGGCAAGCTTGAAACGGCACATCTGCCACCGAGCTTCGCAACGCGGTTTGACTGAGACTCCAGAGGTGCTAGGACGACCTCCAGCAGGGGGCACTATACCTTGTGCTTGAGCCGCGGCTGGACAGAGAGGCTACGAAGCTGTTTGAGTGCATTTATGATATGCGCTATTCTGAGATGCCTCGGGATTCGTCTAAAGATTTTGCTAGTTAGTTAATAGACTTAGTTTAGGGAAAATTTGAGGAAAATGACTTAAAAATTTCAAATCTTTGAAAAGTGTTTGCAAACATAGTAATAAAAATGCATGTGTCATCTGAGGTGGGCAAACCCAAGCACATGGCTGCAGAGGTCAACTGCAGTGGAGGTGGAGGGGGAGGTGGCTGGCCTGTGGGGGAGGAGCTGAAGGCAGCGGAGGAGGAGCTATCGGCAGCCATAGACCCCGCCTCCAAGTGGAAGCATGAGGATGTGGAGCGTGCAGGGCAAAAGATGGGACTACCCTTGTCCCAGACGGGCTCCTGGAGGAGGGGCATGACTGCGCAGGTGGGCATCACGCCCCCCAGGACTAAAGGCACCACCGGGACCTTCAAAAGCATCGGTACGCCTTGTCTCCTCTTTTCTGCCGTTGTTGGCGCTGAAAGGAATTATAGGACAGCCTTTTTCTTGGACGTTTGTTAATTCTTTGAAGTGTATGTTGGTGATTTGTTAGTCATATTGTTTTTGGGAAGGTGACCAAAGCGCCTTTGGAGGGTGTTGAATGCTGTTAATGTGCTGCATGTGGAGATTTGGTGTGTCCCTGAGTAGACAGATTGGCCTTTGGGGGATATTTTATCCCAGTGACGAGGAAGCTTCCGTAAACCCGACCCTTATTCTCTTTGTGGAGTTGTCCCATGCCAGCACAGATATCCCTGATGCATTTGCCAGTGATGGATCAGTCAAATGCTCCCCACCTCGTTAACCGCAGAATTATTCATTGGTTTTGCTGAGCTCCTGATGACCTCAATCTGGATGATTAACCCAACAGGTAAGACTGATGATGCAAAAGCCTCAGAGAAGGGCAAGGCTGCACCCAAGAACGCCAGCATCCAGCGCTCGCCCTCTGATGCGGGGAAGAGCAGTGGTGATGAGGGGAAGAAGCCCCCGACGAGTCTTGCCCGCCCCCCTGCTGGTGGCTCCTTCGGGTTCAAGAAGGCCGGAACCCCTGGGACACTGGTCACTGCCGGTGGGCCCATGCTCGCCGGGAGCTCGGCCACTCTGGGCAAGATGCCCAAGTCTTCAGCCCTCGGGAAGGGCAACGGGACGGGTGGTGGTGTCCGCAAGACAAGCCTGGACGAGTCGCAGCCACTGGACGACAGTGAGCTCCTGGGTGTCGGCGCGACCAGGGGGCCGTCCCAGTTCTGCTCTCTTCCCCGTCCAGCCAAGTCGTCCACCAGCACTGTTGTGGGTCGCCCTGGGCCGGGTGGCAAGTCATCTGGCACAGGCAAGCGGCGGGAGGGAGGGAAGGTGGGATCTGGCCGCTCCAGTCCCGTCACCATCAACCAGACAGACAAGGAGAAAGTGGCTGTGTCTGATCCTGAGACCCCGTGCCTGTCGCCCAAGTCCAGCCCCACCTCCACAGGCCAATCCGGCCTCCGCCAGCCAGGCTCCAAATACCCCGACATTGCTTCCCCCACCTTCCGCAGGTCTGTACCTGATTCTACAGGTTCTACTCTTTAGTAGGCAAGAACAAAACAAGCTCTATGTTGATGTAGGGTTTTTTTTTGGTTACTGTCTCTTTAAGACAGGCTAATTGTAATGGAATTGAAGTGAGCAGAATTGCATGTTGCTCATAAGGCCGTCAGACATGATGCTCAGTCAAGCCGTCAGCAGCCTGAATACATTTATTTGTCTGCATTAAAAGTAATGGAGTAAAGAAGGTGCATGTTAGCTGGTCAGGAGCACTGCTTTCCTGTGCCGAGATAACAGTGCCACCCTGTGGCAAATAGATGTCACTGTATGCAGTAAGAGCATCTCGTGAGACAATTGCAATGTAAAATGACAGGTACAGTAATTCTTCTCTCAGTCCTGGCCACCTAATTCAGTGAAGAGGACAGGGAGGGGAGCATTTTTTCAGGCTTTTTTGCTTCAGGATGGAGATAATTGTTCCTTTATATCAGAGATGTGTGACCGTATCAGGTTGCAGTGCTTGCAGTTTTTTTTTAAATTGGTCTGGGTTAGGTTTGTTGTGGCACACCATCTTTATACAGTCTGTGCGGTATAAGGTGAGTACTTACATCCATTCATCTTCTGACCATGTGTGCTGCTCAGGGCTGCTTGGGGGTCTGGATCCTGTCCCAGGCAGCATGGAGCTTAAAGCTGGGGCTCACCCTGGTCAGGATGGCTGTGCACATTCATTACCATTAAATGTGTTTATGGTGTTAGAGCCCATGGCTCTGCTCTGACACTGGTGTCTCTCCTCCCAGGTTGTTTGCCGCCAAGGCCAGCAGCAAAGCCAGCTCTCCAGGAACCCCTGACTCGGGCAAGTGCCCATCCCTGTTGGGCAGCCCCCATGGCACGCTGGCACGGCAAATTAGCTTGGACTCGCCATCCTCGGGGACGGGCAGCATGGGCAGCGCCGGCGGGCAGAGCGGCGGCAGCAGCCCCCTGTACGGCAGGGCCCCCGAGCTGGTGGGCTCCGGCGACGTCCTGGGCCTGAGCCAATCATTGGCCTCCAGCCCCGCCTCCGGCCTCTCATTGGTGCACGGCGGCCGGCCCTGGGCCGCCCTCAGCAGTTCCTCTGCCGGCAGCAAGGACACGCTCAGCTACCAGAGCATGACAAGCCTGCCCACCAGCTCCGAGTCCATCGACCTGGTCGGCCACCACGCTTCGGGGCCCAAGGTGATGCGGGCCGGGAGCATCAAGTCCACACTGTCTGAAGGGTGAGTGAGCCCGTCTGAGCTCTCCTTGGCACCCCGCAGTGGCAAACATGAGCCATGTCATGGAGTTCCATGTTAACCCACAATGCCGTGATACACCGTGGATGGGATTTGATTAGGGGTGCACCGATCGATCGGCCTCGATCACGTTAATTTGAGGGGATCAGAAATCGACCATATTCCCATGAGATCCACCGATCTTAGTTATATGCTTTTAACTCTTTGGGGTCGAGTATGTCGTCGACGACATCGCGTACTTTTCGCGTACTTTTCGCGTCTATTTCAGTTTATAAATATCTCTATACATTAAATCTTAATGTATAATCATGAAAAGAACGCTGGCTGAATCCGTAATCTGTCTTCTTTTCAAAACGTCCATTGTCGGAAATATTAAAGTTTTTTTAATTAGGTTAAATCGGCAAAAAAGTAAACCATGTCATCTTACTTTGTTTTACCTGCATCGGGGGCGTGTAGTACCGCTCTCACCCGAAGATCGCTATTCACATTCTAAATAGCCGCATTAGCGCGTATTCAAATCGCATTCGCATGGTAATTTGATTAACGGCGCAACGGTGAAACGCGATCCAGATACATCCCCTTCAGCGCCATAAAAGGGGGTTGGGGACGTGGCCAGGTGACAATGGCTCATTCATACACATGAAAGTTGCTACATATTCAATGAAAGGAGCCAGAAATAGTTACATGAGTTAGGTTTTTCTTATTTATTTATCCAAATTAATGTTGCATCTACACCATTTAGTCATCTTCATGTAGCCAAGACTTTGGTGATCAGATATCTGGGATCAAAACAAACTGCCAGCATTGCTTACTATGTACTTTTATAATGTTTCTGCAAGTGTTCCAAACTGCATTTTGCAATGTCTATACTTTGATGTCAAATTTCAAACTTAACAAAAATCTGACATATTTACAATATATATTAAAATAAAGATGAGTGTAATGGCAAAACAAATATATAAGAAATAATTTATTTGCCATGAATTAAGTGTGATGAAATGTGTGATCATGCCCCAGTCAGTGAAAGTGTGTTTCCTACCCCTAGGCCCCAGAGGGTTAAATCAGCCTTTTCTCCCATTCCCGAGAGAGGTGCAGTGCAGGCTGCCTCCCTCCCTATTTTTTGGACAAGTGTGTCATAACAGCTATATATATATTTTTTTTTTACAAAATTAGAGAAATTAAAGTCTGGAAGAAAAAATATGATTTTGTAGTTCAAACAGCAATGCTCATTTATATGTTCATTTATATTTGAGGACACTACCTCATGTTTTGTGAGTATTCATATCAATTTACTCAATAAAAATGGAAACATTGAAGTAACTGTCTTTTAGTTATGAAAGAAAAGATCGGCAAAAAAAAATCGAGATCGGCAGGTAAGGTTGCCTAAGGATCGGTGATCGTTGATCGGCCAGAAAACTGCAATCGGTGCACCCCTAGATTTGATGTACAGTTCTTGATTGACTGGAAATTTTAGTGACTTCGGTTTCTATACTCGAGTGTTTCTCTTCGAGGACCCCCAGACGGTCCACATTTTTGCCCCCTCCCAGCTCCCAGAACACCTATAACAGGTATTCGCTGTTAATTGTTAATCAGGTATGCTGAGAACTGGGAGGGAGCAAACATGCGGACAGTCTGTGGGTCTCCAAGGACTGGGTTGAGAGACAATGCTATACACTCACTATTTAATAGTTAATATTCAACAAAACATTCCCAAACAATAACCAAATATGCCATATGTGCTGTGTTTCCTCTGTCTTGTTGGCTGGTTGTTTCGATCAATATAACTTTATTTTGGTGTCTTATATTTTAACAGCATGCCTCTGGACCGGAACACGCTGCCCAAGAAGGGCCTGAGGTACGGTGACCTCGTACAGTTTCTCTCTCCCTGCTCTCGTTTTAATTTCCCCCATTGTGAGCACATGAGCCCAGGTGGCGCCCTCTTGTGGAGTGACCTTCTGGTCCTGTCAGGGCCATCTAACGCCTTTAATCTGGGCTCCAAGAGGGCCACTGTGTTCCCATCACTGGCTCTGTAGCTTTTTATCCTTCTTAGCTGATTTTCTGTCAGGAGTTCAAGTATCACCAGCAACACCCATGTGCTGAAGGTATCCGGAGTAGAAACAAACAGTAAAAATAAAAGGAAGTGTGTGACCCGGGTCATTTCCCCTCAAGTGCTTCCACCGCTGAAGCCTCTTAGCCCAGATCTGCCGATTCGAAAGCTGAGTTCAGTGCCCCTTTTCTCTGCCCGCACCTGCCACTGAAAAGGCACAAATTGCAGCCACGGCCGGGTCAGAACACGCGGGCCTGCGCTGGCTGCTGAATGCTGAGCAGGGGTTCACTGGTGTCCATGGCGACCGGCCGATCAGCGTCCGCGTGCAGAAGGGCTGAGCTTCCGCCATCTGCGTTAGCGTTAACGTTCCATTCCGCTTCACCACCAGGCACCCGCCCTCATCCCGGCAGGCCTGCAACGAGGAGGGCAAGGAGTGGCTGCGGTCCCACTCCACGGGGGGCCTCCAGGACACGGGGAGCCAGTCTCCTCTGTCGCCACCGGGGGCGTCCTCCACCGTGAGCAAGTTCACCTACTCCAACCTCTGTGAGTTCATCACAGTGTTCCCCGGTGGTCTCCCTCTGAGACACGAGAAGGTTCCCGTCGCCGTGCCGGGTCAGTGTTTGGGACGGCTTTCTGCCAGTTGGTTTTAAACCAGGGCTTCCCCCAGGAGTCTTGCACTGGGGGGCGCGGAGCGCTGACGGTTTTGGGGGGCCTTTTATTTTCAAGCCGTGCCTTTTTTGTGACCACTGAGCCGGCTATTGTACACAAAATGAAAAAGCAAGCAGATTTTTGTGGCCGACCCACAAAAGAGAGTCAGCGGAGACAGCCGCTATGAAAATATCAGTGATGGAAAAAGGAAAAAATAACATCTTGCAGTGGCAAACACGATGTGAGTTGCATAACATATGGTTGCATAGCGACCGGCAGCGTGGGCTCTCCTATCCCTCTGTGCTGTGATGCTGGCGATGTTGACAATGTTGACAATGTAATATTATTTTTCTGCTGGGCGTAATCCTCTGGTCTATGAAACTTTTGCATTTCTCTGGCCACTGAAATGTTAAAAAGCTATACTGTACATGACTGTTCCCGCTCTGCTCCCACAGTGAGTCCCACCAACCTGACCAAGTTCACCCTCCCTGGACCCAGCATGAGCCGCTCCAACAGCATCCCTGCCCAGGACTCCGCCTTCGACCTGTGCAGGGAGGCCCACACGCTGGGGGGCAGTGCCACCTCCCTGGAGGAGCGTCCACGGGCCATGAGCCGCTCAGGCTCCTTCCGGGACAGCATGGAGGAAGGTAGGCTGGCCCCTGGCACCTCCCCACCTACACGGGCTCAGCTTTTCGCTTCCGGGGCCCTGAAATCCAGGCGGTGAGTCATTACCCGCCACACAGGGGTGATTCTAGGATTTTTTTTAACATGGGGGGCAAAAAAGGAGCCATGTTTCATACACAGGGGCCAGCCTAATCATTAGCCAATGATTTGTATTGAATTGGCAATTGACAGGCGAGGAGGCACCCCGGGGGCCAATCAGCTTTCAGCTGGGGCCAGTGCCCCTGTGGCCCCGCCCCTGTATGTGCCTCCCATCGTAACTGAAAACCCAGTTTTACCAGAACAGGAGGGGCAGGCTGTAATGGATCACATGTGTTTCAGCACTTGGCTTTGTGGCTTCTAGTCACTTACGCCCTCTCAGTAATGTCTGCTGTGTCCTGGTGGCGAACTGGCAGTAAGAGCAGGCGGATGGCCCAGGTGCCGGATGCGAGGGCCACTTTGAGGGGCTGAGCCCCGGAGAGGCAGACCTGTCATCATGATAAGTGTTATCAGAGTAACACCCCCTGTCTGTCCTCTCCGCAGTCCATGGATCTTCCTTGTCGCTGGTCTCCAGCACCTCATCCCTGTACTCCGCGGTGAGTCTCTTCTGACCTCTCGCTTGCAGAACTAGCCGGTAACCATGGCGACCACGGCGGTGCTGAGCACAGAGGTTCTCGCCGTAGTGTTGAAGCTCTGTGCAGTTTCAATTCATGAACCTGAGATCATTGAGAAATAGGGCTGTCCACGCACGCTGCTGCCTGCCTGTGGAGATGTAAGCCTGCCTTGGAGATGCAGCCTGTGCAGATTCTCTGCTTCCTTTCTGGACCGTTTTACTTTCTCATTTTTAGGCAGCGCTGGGATAGAGTGACATATAGTGACGTGTGAGGAATGCACACATACCCCTGAAATGAGACACCATCCCTGCCTCCTTCTCTTCTCCTCCTGTACATCTTACTCCTTCACATTCACCTCCTCCTCCTTTTTTACCTCCTGCTTCTCCTCTTACTCCTCCTCCTCACCTATTCCTCCTCCTGCTCCTCCTCCTGCGCCTCCTCCGCTTTATGTTACTTCTTCAGCCGGCCATGTACTTCAGATGAAATTTTCAGATGAGAATTGACATCGTTTCACTAACAGGACCTCGTGTGAGCCCTGTCACCGTGACTGGCTGCCACAATGTGATGCCGCAGGGATGGTCACCGAGACTAATTCTGCAGTTTCCCGCCTGCTATCTGCCGCACTGCTCGTATCTTTAATAGTGTAAATTAATATGGTGGTGGGTGGTTGTAGTGGCTCCCCACTGGTTCTGTAAAGCGCTGTGGGTATCTTGAAAGTGCTATATAAAAGTAAACATTCATTCATTCATTTATTCAGTATGTGTATTCGTGTATTTATAAATGTCTTAACAATGTAATGATTGCTGTGGAATTTATGTTTCTTTAGAGAGTAACCACGAGTGTCGTTAAAAATGTTGGTCTGTGCCGCTTCTAGCATTAAACCAATAGCGGATGTTAATAAAAAGAGCAACTTCCATTTTAAAAGAGCTGTCATCTTCATTATTGAACTGACTCACGCACTGGCTGTAATACGATAATTTGCTCCGTGTATGTGGGCCTGCTGCAGCGAAAACATTCTGCTCACCATGGTGTCACATAGAACGTAGAACAAGGTTTTAAATATGCAATAGATTGTTCTTGCCAACGTGTTCCATTTTGCTTTGCCTGGACGCTGTTTGAAATATGTGGCCACCTTTCTCCTCCTCCTTCTCTTGCTTCCTCTCCTGCTCCTCCTCTTTATCCTCCTTCTGTTCTACTTCTCTTCCTTCTCTTGTTCATTCTTTTCCTTCTCCCACTTCTCCTCTTCCTGCTTTCTCCTCCTTCTCTTGCTTCTTCTCCTCATGCCTTTCCTCTTCTGCTCCTTTCCTTCCCCTGCTCATTCTTCTCTTCCTCCTGCTCTTTCTCCTCCTCCTTTTCCTCATGCTCTTTTTAACAGCAGGTTAGACGCTCCAGCTTTACCTCCATTACGTATAAATGATAGCTATAACATTGTATATTACCCACCCTCTGATCACATTGTGAACGGCTGCTTTCATTTGGTAATCACCCCGTCTCACAGATGAAGGGTCTGGCTGCAGATATATAGCGTACACAGAGTTTATGGTTCTAATCGTTATTTTATCGTAATTGCTCTTTTATTACTGTTCCTCACCACATGCTCTATTTTATACTTCATATATTTAATTTTTTCTTTTTTTCCTCACAGACAGAAGAAAAGGCTCACTCTGAGGTAAGGACCTTGAGCGGGAGAAGCCGCTTAAAATGAAACAGTGACATTTGTAAATGCAACATTTTTGTAGAGAGGTTTGTAATCCTGCCAGCAGACTCTCAAATTAGCACTCACACATGGAAACATCCAAACAATCCATCCATATTCCAACCACTTGTTATGGTTAAGGTCCCCTTGAGCCTACCCCAGGTGGGGGCAGCCCAGGCGGGATATCAGGTCATCACAGGCCCCAAAGATGTACACGTACTTGGGGTGATGATACGCATCACAATGTTTTGAGCAGTGTTGTTTTGAGCAGTGTTGTTTTGAGCAGTGTTGTTTTGGGCAGTGTTGTTTTGAGCAGTGTTGTTTTGAGCAGTGTTGCTGGGCACTTTCCCGTCACTGTGGTTAGCACTGTCACCTCATGCCTCTGGGACCTTGGGTCCACCTGGGTTCCATGTGTGAGGAGATTTCATGTTCTCCCCGTGTTGTCCGGTTTCCCTCCGCAGTCCAAAAACATGCTGAGGTGAATTGGAGTTGCCCAATTGTTCGTAGGTGTGAATGGTGTGTGAGTGTGCCCTGCAATGGGTTGGCGCCCCGTCCTGGGTTGTTCCTTGCCTTGTACCTGTAGCTTCCAGGATAGGCTCCAGACCCCCCACAACCCTGAATAGGACAACCGGTGTGGATTGATGGATGGAAAACTTTGATCAGCAATGGGCAACTTTTTGCAATCATCCAGATCAAGATGAGCTTGTCTTACCTGGTTGGCAACTGCCCGACAACATTGTTCAAAAACTGCCCTGTGCATCATCACCTTCACACACTGCAGGAAATCCAGACACCAGTTCTCCTACTGTGTGTCTCACACAAACTCTAGAGAGAGAGAGCAGAGTCAAGATTTGAACCCACAACCCTGGAGGTGTGAGGTAACAATACTAGTCAGGTGTGAAGGACAACTCACCATGCCACTTGTATATTATTATGGTATATTACTGGTATGTTATTTAAGGAAATAACATATGCTTTTGGGCAGGATGGATAAAAATGATTGAATTTTCCTTTTATGTTTGGCCTTTTGATCTGTGTCACTGCGTTCCACGATGTAATGACAAAAATTCCTGTGCCAACAGCAAATCAGGAAGCTTCGCCGAGAGCTGGACGCCTCACAGGAGAAGGTCGCCAAGCTGACCTCCCAGCTGTCATCCAACGTGAGTCAGGGATCGGTGTGGACCCCGTCAGCTTCGTAATGCATCACTCCTGTACTGTGGATTTTCCTGCGCCGGCCCTTTAAGGAACATGGCCTGTTATCGGCTAAGGTGGACATGTATAATGGCAGTCGGGTCACAGCTGCTGATGCGGCATTTCACCGAAAGCCTAAATGACGGGAGAGGCTTCTTTGATTGGCTCCTCTGTCCTATAACAGCAGGGATTCAGGCAGTTTGATTTGAAAGGAAATGCCCTATGGATCGCTAAACTCCTCCACACACGTTCAGGGTAGCCAAGTCTGATATGTGGGGGCTAAGCTGCCCCCCGCCTTTTCGCTATGACCGTGCCCCGCCTCCTCCGCCCCCCCGTGATTGAGTGAGTAATGCAGCGGTGCACGGGGTGCTGGGATTGCGTGCGGCTGTGTAGCAGCGATAAGGAGCTTTGCTTTGTTTATTAAGTGAAGACTTTAACACTTTAATGAAGACATTTCCTTTGCAAGGAGGAATGCTCACGGTGCGCTTCCAAACTACAGACAAAAGAGAAGTCTGAATGCAACTGACTTTCTTTAATGGTGCGATTAAGTTTGAGAGCAGCTGTTTGGGGATGTCTACCATGCAATGCTCTCTCCTGAGGAACATTACATGCACTATGAGGAGTAGTGTATCTGGGGGTGGGGCACCAGCCCCCGCTGAAAGCTGATTGGCTCCCGGAGTGCCCCCTCCCCTATCACTCTCTAATTCATAACATATCATTGGCTAATGATAAGGATGGCCTTTCTATATGAATTATGCCCCCCTTAAGCCCCCCACCATAAAAAATCCCCAAAACACCCCTGGTTATGAGTAAAAATTACTGTGACATGCCTTCACTAAGGTACGTGAGGGGAACTGTAGTAACAGTCATGATACGGCAGTACAAGAAAGTAGGCTGATTATTCACACTGGTGCAGGGTCTGACAGCCTCATATTATCACTGTAACACAAAATATAAAGCTCTTCCTATGGCTCAGAGTTGGACTGATTTATCCCTGAGAACTGTTTAGTCTAAACATGCTCTGCTCAAGCTGTTTGAAGACGACATTAATATTTAGAGCACATTTGATGCAAATACTCTCTTGGCTGAAGGGACGCGTGGTGGTCCTCTTGAATACTAAGCGGCTGATTGGTTCACCGCAGTTACACCTCACGCAGATCTTTTATGGTCCACTGTTCTGCAGGATGGGCAGTTTGAAGGCTAAATGAGCTGGCTGGCATTTAAACTTCAAGGCCTTGCTTATAAGGTGTTATTGATTTAAATAAAAATGGTTTGCCTTTAACGGGGAGACATGCCCGTGTACTGACAGGTGTGTGGTCTCTGTCCATGAATTATCTGCTAATTTATTTCCAGTTAAAGGCTTAGAATCAGCAGGGGGTCAAACCAACACAAAACCAGCAGCAAGCGGGTCAGTATTAGCGGTGTTTTCTGAATGACAGAATTAGACATCAGTTCTTACTGGGGAGGGATAAACTGAGAGGTTCACCCCAAACCCCCTCCCCACTGCAAGCTGCCCCCTTCTTCTCCATCATCCTCCTCTTTAGCTTTCTTCTCCGCTACATCCATCCATTCTCCTGCCTCTCCCACTAACCCATCTTCTCAGGTTTAGCGGTCGGTGGATCAATGCTAGTTGAAATGCGTGGTGCAAATGGTAACGGTTCTGGTTCTGTTTATGGTTCTGGTTCTTGTTATGGTTCTGGTTAGCATGGCTTGCTCCCTGGCCCAGCCATACTTAAGCTCTAACTCCTTGACTGGTGGCCATCTGCTATAAGGCAAATGCTAATAAACACACCATATGTAACATTGCATGTGTAACATTAGCAGAATATCTGGTAACACTTTACTTGACGGGGCACAAATACTTAGTAATAACTCAGTTACTACTGAAGTACAGATCATGAACAACTATCATTGCTACTTGATAAAAGTTGCATCATGATTCATTAATGATGAAGAAACATGAGATCAGTATTTATCTTGTGTTTTTCATGACTTGTTCCTTCAGTGGCTCCTTCAGGAGTTAACAGAGATTTATAGAATTAACAGATATGATCTCAAATATTGCTTGAGATAAAACACATGCCATCATTAATTGATGATGAATTAACATGAGATCAGTATGTAATTAAGACTTAGTTTGTGGTTAATTAATACATAAGTAATAGTATAATACTATACTGTGTGTGCCCCATCAAGTAAAGTGTTACTGAATAGCTCAGAGCAACAAAGAAAATTTAACTTTTTAAAAACGCATATTTTTTTGTCGCTCTTTCTATTTGTTCCAGAAAGCCTGTCTGTGTCAGTGTTAGAAGTGTACAGCCTGCAGAGCCGTAAACAGCGACTGACTACAAAGCCCAGAGCGGGTTTATTTTAACTAGAGAAATGCAAATCTGTGGCTTACAGGCCCATTAGCATGTTCGCTCGTTTCTCTGTTGTCTCTGGGCCCCGTGCCGTGAACTGGTGGCTGATGTGCGTAGCTGCTGTGGAGGGATTCAGCTTCGCTTAACTCGGGGGCCAGACACCTGTTTCTACAGCGATGCAGGCAGCAAGGTCCAGGCAGTGAGGTCCAGGCAGTGAGGTCCAGGCAGTGAGGTCCAGGCAGTGAGATCTAGGCAGTGAGATCCAGGCAGTGAGGTCCAGGCAGTGAGATCCAGGCAGTGAGATCCAGGCAGTGAGGTCCAGGCAGTGAGATCCAGGCAGTGAGATCCAGATGATGCTGGATGTTGCTCAGATGCCTCAGATCCCCGTACATGTCAAAAATACTCACTTTCATTTTCAAGCATAGATGTGGTTTCGCATATTTACATAATATCCATTTCATTTTTTTTTAACAAAATCAAAGAATTGTACTTGTTATTGCTTTAGTTGGGAGATTGCTAATTATTAAAAATTTTGTTTGTGAGATCTAGCTTTTTTTTTAGTTGTATAACTGGAACTGAAACTCTCCTCCAGATCAGTTTTATATTTGCGATCCCGGGGTTCTTCGCTGGGAAATCAGCTCATTCTATGAACTCAGACATGCTCGTTGACAATCAGCGTGAGAAGTGGGTTACTGGGTGGCGGAAGGTGCCGGAACCGGAGCGCCGTGCCGTTTCCATGCTGACTGACAGAGCCTCCCCGCCTCCCTTAGGCTCACCTGGTGGCCGCCTTCGAGAAGAGCCTCGGCAACATGACCGGCCGTCTGCAGAGCCTCACCATGACCGCTGAGCAAAAGGTGCGTTTCCCAGAAGCCTCTGCGTTCTCCCATGGGCGCTGTCGCCCTTCTGTTTAAGCTTGGGAGTTTTGGTTCCCCGTTTTATTAAGCTCTGATTCTCGAGCCTCAGTACTGAGAAACGCTATAGGAAAATGAGCGAGGAATGTGAAATGTATAATCCCACATGAAGAGGAAAGAGCACCAGCATCATCTGTTATTGTGGCAGTCGGATGCAAATGGCAGGTTTTGGCTTCTGGAGCCTTTAACGGGTGGACTCTCAATCAGTGATCATAGGGGCTGCATGTGTTTAAGCGGCTCTTAAAACGAGCTCCGGCCTGCTTTCACAAATCCCCTCCATAAAGCTGACAAGAGTTGTCAGCTGTAATCCCCACTGAATTAAACGGAGGAGATTCCAGCAGGGCGTCTTCGCTGAAGCGTCCCTCATGCCCGGGTGTTGACTTGGGGCGTCTCTCACAACTCCGACTGCTTCTCTGAATCCCCGTCGCTAATTCATTCACAGGGTAAAGCGGCAGACGGGCGTGGAAATGGCCACTTTCATGGAGAATAGAGAGCAATGTTGCAGGAAGAGATGCCATCTTCACTTCCTGTTTTGAAGTAGCTGTCAGGTGTTAAAGATTCAGTCTAAAAAAATGACATTGGTGTTATATTTGTGCTACACTTGAGTTAAGTGTCTGAAAGCTGTGAAACATCCCGGAATTAAAGGATACGGTCGTCTCAGTTGGCTCCTCTTAACTCGACAGAGCTTCAACAGAGAGATGTGATTGGCCGCCTCTTTCCTCAGGAGTCCGAGCTGGCTGAGCTCAGGGAGACCATCGAGACACTGAAGACCCAGAACTCAGATGCACAGACGGCCATCCAGGTGGCACTCAATGGGCCCGACCACCCGCACCAAGGTACCGTGTTCAGAGAAGGCAGCCTACTACTAAGCAGGTGACCTGTTTGCATCATGAGTGGTTTCTGAAGACCATCAGTCCTGGATCTCTCACTGCATATTCTGATGGCATCCAGTGTGTGGTTAGTGGTCTTGAGGGTGTAGTTCCCCCTGATTCAATAGGGGGGCGCTCACACCCGGGTTCTCGCCCCAGATCTGCAGGTCCGTCGTCAGCGCTCCTCAGACAGCATGTCCAGCATCAACAGCGCCACCAGCGCCAATAGCCACGCCAGTATGGGCAGCGCCGCGGATGCCGAGGCCAAGAAGAAGAAGAAGAAGAGCTGGGTGGGTCGCCTGGGCCTGGATGGGTGGGGCTGGGGGAGAGAGCAAGGAAAACACAAGGCTGGCTGAGGGAGCCGTCTCAGCCGCCCCCTACTGTAAGGGATTGGAACTACGCTCAGCAACTGTGTTTTCTTTTGTCAGAAAATGGCCACAGACAAAATATAAACAGCTGAATGGGACCCTGATTGTTCTCTAGTCCTCTTTGCGTCCTCAATGAGCTGAATAATGAAGTATGTGATGGTTATTGTATAAATCAGGGTTATTCAAATCACGGTCCTCGAGGTCCGAGCACTGCTGGTTTTCCAGCCTTCCTTTACCTGTCAGTCAGGTGAGAAGCCTCTGACCAATCAGAATCAGTAATTATTAAACTAACTACCTGGGAGAACTGAAAACGAGGCCTGGATTTGGAATCGAGGTCCAGATTTGAAGAGCCCTGGTATAAAGCATATTTTGAGGAGAATGTCGGATTGCTGCACTAGTTTTCTTTCATGTGAAGCGCGTTCCTGGGTTCCCTGGAAGCTTTTGTGAGATGGAGGAGTTTCATCTCAGTCGCCAGGCTTGCTACTCGCTAGTCCAAGGCAGAGAGGATGGACTCGCAGAGGAGGCAGTGTCTGAGTTAGGCTTCTGTCTAACACGCATTTCCCTTGCAGCTACGCAGCTCCTTCAAGCAAGCCTTCAGCAAGAAGAAATCGGCCAAGCCGCCGTCGCCCCAGTCTGACCCGGAGGACCAGGCGGACTCTCCCCTGACCTCCTCGCCGAAGCTGCTCGGCGCCTCTGAGGAGACCGACAGCAGCCCGCTCAAGTCCTCCCCCTCTGCCCTCGAGTGAGTCCTGTTTCTTCACTCGTCATGTGGAGGTCTGACTGCATATGCAGAGCCCAATACATGCATTCACATGCATGCACAGCATGCGAAACGTCTATAAATGGTGGACACTACACTACCCCACAAGACCAGCAGAGTGGTGAAGATGATCACTGGCACAGAAACTTTTGTCAAGATGATGGAGGAAGTGTAAATAGAAAACAATACTGTTATATAAGTTGACTCAAATGACTATTTTCTTTTATCATTTTTAACAGTTTTTAGCTTTTTTCTGATACATGCATATCCTAGTAGGCTTCTAACGAAATTCAGTATGTACTGTGTAAGTATGCAGTTTGAGATGCGCCCTAAGATATGTATTATGTTTGTTCGCCCCCTTGTGGCTTGGTGGAACTGTGCACCCTCACAGGCTGTGTGACTGCACGGAGGCCGAGGCAGAGATCATCATGCAGCTGAAGAACGAGCTGCGGGAGAAGGAGCTCAAACTGACCGACATCCGGCTGGAGGCACTAAGCTCCGCCCACCACCTGGACCAGATCCGCGAGGCCATGAACCGCATGCAGGTGCGTGACACACGGCCCACATGGAACAGAGGATAAGCATTACCGTACATGTCAGCGTCCCGTGTGGAGTTAGGGTTACACGGAACAGGGGATAAGCGTTACCGTACATGTCAGCGTCCCGTGTGGAGTTAGGGTTACACGGAACAGGGGATAAGCGTTACCGTACATGTCAGCGTCCCGTGTGGAGTTAGGGTTACACGGAACAGGGGATAAGCGTTACCGTACATGTCAGCGTCCCGTGTGGAGTTAGGATTACAGCAAATACATTGACTCTTTTACCTTTAGAACTGATACAGTCCTCAGCTTGATTACAGATCCTTACTAGAGAAATATTCTGTTTTTAATGAACGGTCTGTTTCCTTCTTATCTCTGCTTCTTGTGCCTGATGCCAAGTGTGTTAGACTGAAAATATTCACAGAATCCAAACTCCATACTCTTCCACATACCGTAATTCCCTAGAAATTGTGCCTGGGGAAATTACTTCTTAAAAAGCAATGACATGCTACTCCCTGTACCTTTCCATTGTCTCATATTCATTTGCCTTTCTGTATGCTGTTGTTTTATTGTGGGTATTTAGTACCTCACAGTAAACATTATTTATTGTGATCTAGAATAGAGTGGTATACACTGTATCTGTACTTCACTTCCCACGTGGTGTAAAACTAAGAGCCAGAAATAGAACTATTTTCATCAGAGAAGTTCCTCAGACATAGCCTGGTGTTCTTATTCTCCATGTGATTTAGTTTTTAATGTAAAATTATGGAATGTGCTGAGTTTCAGCCAGAGATGGTGCTGTAAAATAGTATAGAAGTGTAATTGTAGTCCTGCATGCTTTGACATAAATTAAAAAGAATCCATAATTTAACGGTTACCAAGTATGGTTCACATGTCAACCTGCTGGAGAAAACATCTTTTTTTGTGGCTGTGGGTATTTATTGATGGATGTGGGGTATTTATTGATGGATGTGGGGTATTTATTGATGGATGTGGGGTATTTATTGATGGATGTGGGGTATTTGTTATATTGACAGTGGCATCTGGGGTAAAATATAATCCAGCCATAATCATGAAGCTGATTATGAGCATATGAGAGAACCCAGAGGAGAACCAGACCCACATTCATGTCAGCAGAAGAACCAGAACGATACCAACGTGTGGTTGGCTGGTTCTATTAAGGAGCGATGAATGAAACTGACAGAACATCTGAGAAAATCCTGAAAAGCTCAAATTTAAAACAATAGGAGCCTTCACTCTCTTTCAAAAGCCCCAGATAGCCCGTTCAGACTTTAAGTCCCCAGTATAAAGGGTGTCTCAGAAGATGAAATAACCTTTTAAGCTAAAATGGTGGTTGTTTAAGACCAGAATGTTCTGGTGCCTCTGACATGTAGAGGCTTACATTAGAAATCGCCATGCCCCCCCATCTCCAGAACGAGATCGAGCTCCTGAAGGCAGAGAACGACCGGCTGAAGTCTACGGGAAACAGCACCCCCTCGTCAACTCCTGCCAAAGCAGTGCGCCCCCCCTCTGAGACCTCCAGCACTTCCTCGTCTTCCTCACGCCAGTCACTTGGGCTCTCATTCAACAACCTCAATGTCACAGACACCATCATGACCGGTAAGCCCCTGGGGATCAGCTCTCTGCTGCATGAAAGGCTCTGTCCAGCATCCCATAGACACGGTTTCTTCGTAGAAAACTTGACAGCAGTACCGTCAACAATGTGTGTCTGGACTAAGTCATTATAATTCAATACGTATTATAACTATTATCAAATACAAATAGTGCTAATTACAGAAACATGGATATAACATTGTAATAGAAAGCCTGGTGTATTAGTGTGGCTAGAATGATTTATGCATTAGTGTTCGCAATTATCATGATGTACCAGGTGGCTTTGTGACCAAAGAGTCTCAGCTTTGGTCTCAGCTTTCCATGACATCATATCCTGTCTATGACAGACATTCTCCTGGATGACGGCTACGAAGGCAACTTACGCAAAGAGGGCCGCAGCTTCAGAATCATGGTGACCATCAACAACAGCTCCAGCCGGACCAAGGTGACCAGGCTATAGCTTCTCGTTGTATATCTGGTTGCTAACTGTCTACTGACTGGAATGCTTCAGTTTATCAGGTATCTTGCATGAGGTATAACAGTGAGGATATATGAACAGGTACTATAATCATTCGTGACTCGTCCCAGGGTTTTAAGTGCCAGGAATACCTCATCGGGTCCATCGGAGTTGGCGGGCAGACCAAGTGGGACGTGTTGGATGGGGTTGTGCATCGCTTGTTCAAGGTGAGGGTCATCCATCATGCCTGTCCATATATGTGGGGCTATTTCTCACTGTAGGTCCCCAAACCATTTATCATTTTCCTCCTCAAGCTGCAAACCTGACATTGTCTGAGCCATGGTGCCATGTGCATCCTATTGGAAATGCAGTTCCTTACACGCCCAAACAGACATGCTTGGTGTTAGAATGGGCTTTGGAATTCTGTCAGCGAATGGAAGACCAGACAGTGTGATTGTGTGTCCAACAGGAGTACATTTTCCGCGTGGACCCCCTGACCAGCCTGGGCCTGAACTCGGACAGCATCATGTCCTACCGGCTGGGTGACGTGGTGCGGGCCCACGGCTCCGAGCTGCCCGAGAAGCTGCCCTGTGGTTGCCTGGTGGGCGACAGCAATGCCATCGCCGTCAGCCTCAAAGGTAGAGCCAGAACTTGTTCTCCATGACTGCGGTTGACCTGAGTTGACTTCCGTTCTCTCAGGGTGTCTGTTGCTTTGTCACAAGATGTATAAGCTTACAGAAAAACTATTTCCTCTGTTTTATTATCAAGTTTGTGTTTCATAGCACATGCCGATGTCCCTGAGTTTAACGTGTCCCTGGGTCAAATAAGGGAGGGACCTGCATTCTATTTTTAAAACCAATCACAATCCTTCATTGTATTACATCACCATAGAAATTAAAACGAATGTTGTCTGTTAAGGGTCAAGGTGCACAGATTTATAAAAAGAACTGGTTTTTATCGTTGTACTGTTTAAGGGACATGTCATAAATACAAAAAACTGGAACGTGCTTACGCGCAAAGGCCATACAGAGCAATGTACAGACACTCCTCTACTTGCGAACTTTCAACTTACGAACTTTCAGACATACGCACAAAGAGGACTGTAACTCCAAATTGTGTTCATTGGGCTCCCGTTTCCTGTCCGCAACATCGATTTTTTTTTCTGCACGCCAATTCCGCCTATTACGACTTCGGGCCGCAACTCCCGCCGTGCGGCAGCGTAGCGTGCGGACTCCCAGCATATCCTAGTTATCTGTACTTGCGTATACCCTTAAAATGATGTTGAATAACGACTTACGAACATTTCAAGTTATGAACGGCCGTTCGGAACGTATCCCATTCGTAAGTAGAGGAGCGTCTGTATTGTTGTTTTGTTCATGTACTGCCATGTAGACTGTGGTCTTCTTCTTCATGGGGGAGATTCAGATTTAACTTCATATGGGAATGACCTCTCATGTTCTCCACCCAGGTGTGAAAGAGAACAGCATCGATCGGCTGGCTTTCGACACACTGATCCCTAAGACCGTCATCCAGCGGTACCTGAACCTCCTGGTGGAGCACCGGCGCATCATCCTGTCTGGGCCCAGTGGAACCGGCAAGTCTTTCCTGGCCATCAAGCTGGCAGAGTTCATCGTGGCCAAGTCGGGTCGAGAGGTCACAGAGACCAACATGGCCAGCTTCAACGTGGACCATAAGTCATGTGAGGTAGAGATGGACACTCCTAGACTCTTTACACCATGAGTTCACCATGTATATGGGTGAAAGTGAAGCTTGGGGTCTGAGCACAGATGCAGCCATTTATCCAGAACCCTTGGATCAGGTCAGGGGAGGTAAGGGCCTTGCTTAAGGCCCCAATGGAGATGTGACCATTTTGTAGAGGATGGAAATCAAACTCAATAAATAAAGAGTCTTAAGTAATGCCCTTTAGCCTCCAAAATGCTTATCTATGAGTACCAGTTCCATATTTTTAGGAGGTACCTTAGAATGATTGACATGTAGCAGTGATACTGGTTGTACTGCTTGTCCTGCATACGCCACTCACTGAGGTGTGAGTACTTCACTGGGCTGCGCTCGGCCCTCAAACTGCAGCAGGTTGCGTTCATGCAGTGTGCATCCCTGCATAGGAGCTGCGGCAGTACCTGTCAACGCTAGCAGAGCGGTGCAACTCGGAGGACAGCGACTTGGAGATCCCCATGGTGGTCGTCCTGGACAATCTGCACCACATCAGCTCCTTAGGTGATATCTTTAACGGCTTCCTCAACTGCAAGTACCACAGATGGTGAGTGTGATGCCCTCTGACTCCAGCAGGGGTCACTGCGCTGGTCACTGGGCTTTCGGCTGATTGTGTCCCATAATTAGACGCCCAGTTTTATAATGCATAATTTTCCATCATTCAGACTAGAACTCCGACTTGAGCGCCTCCTTGATTTCTACTCAATTTGGGCACATATTTCAACAAAATTTCTCATCTAGACATTGACATAAAACAGTAATAACACTGATTCCCAGAAGCTCGTCAGTCACTTGTAATGTTACATGTAATCACTGGTCCATGAGCTTTAATCTCTTTTCTCTCCTGTACAAATGGTTTGGCTCTTATCTGAAATTCCTTGGCCCTGTGTTTAACTGTGTCTCCTCTGCTGTTGTCAGCCCCTATGTCATTGGGACCATGAACCAAGGCGTGTCCTCCTCACCCAATCTGGAGCTCCACCACAATTTCAGGTACACCACATGGCCCATTAGCAATGTAGTGAAAGTTTTACGTTGTACCTTTTCAGTTGGTTTTGCGTCTAACTTATGTGTTTGCCTAAAGTCTATGAGACTGCCATGCATCCATTTGAAGCACTTTATATTTACCTCAGTCTATTGTGGCACTATAGCTGCCATTAAAACCTGTTTAGTGAGATTGTATGCAGTGAGAATATTCATTCACCTGGCTAGCTGCCTAAAGTAACGCATTTGATTGATTTCAAGAAAACTGCATTCAAAGCTGGTTAATTGCAGAGGGCCTGGCTGGGCACTCTGGACTCACTGCAGCAAGAATAAGCTGTGAAAATAACTGCATTATTAAAACATCATCATTCGAATAGAGGTTGAGCACTGGAATAAATAAAAAATGAGGAAAGGTTTGAAACTATGTCCATCTTGGCTCACATGTATAATTTTTTTGCATTTCCATTTGAAACAATGATATTTGACATAGATGGAAAACTCAGTCCTGTGGAATTCTGGGAAGGCAGCTACTACTGTGGTGCATTGTTTAAAATGCAAAATGCATTGTCCTTCTGTAGACATAATAAAATATGGAGTGTTACTAAAATATAAATTTTCTCTGAAGGTCTGACTGAAAGGTCACCCAACTAAATGGTCCCACTCTTAATTGTAATGGTGGCTGCTCGTCACCGATTGGCCCTTGCAGGTGGGTACTCTGCACCAATCACACGGAGCCAGTGAAGGGCTTCCTGGGCCGCTTCTTGCGGAGGAAGCTGATCGAGACGGAGATCGCCAAGAGTGTGCGCAGCAACGACCTCGTCAAGATCGTCGACTGGCTCCCCAAGACCTGGCAGCATCTCAATAGCTTCCTGGAGGCCCACAGCTCCTCTGACGTCACCATCGGTGTGCATCAAGCCTCTCTGTCGCCATGCCGATACGCATGTGCTGCTTTTGCACAGACCTCCCGCCTCACATGTGCCGCAGCACTGGGGGGGTTTGCTTGCTAATTGTAGAGCTGGCATCCATCCTGTTTTTGGGGACTGTCCTATATGACTGCCCCACCCCCCCAACTTGGGAAATGTTATCATTGGGTCGGGGTGGAATCACATATTATTTCAGATTGAAAATAGCAACCGGAGCTCATTCAGGAAGGTTCTGTCTCCCTCACAGGTCCCAGGCTTTTCCTGTCCTGCCCCATGGATGCAGACGGCGCCAGAGTTTGGTTCACTGACCTGTGGAATTACTCGCTGGTGCCGTACCTTTTAGAAGCCGTGAGGGAAGGGCTCCAGGTGAGTGCAGGAATGTTTGATGGGAGGGTCCTATGCTGTTATGAGAAGCGCAGGCACTGGATGAGCTCATCCCCTTTCTCACGCGCATCTTGTCTGCTTAGCTGTACGGCAAGCGGGCCGCGTGGGAGGATCCTTCCAAGTGGGTGATGGACACCTACCCTTGGAGCTCCGCCTCCCTGCAGCATGATTGGCAGGGCCTGCTCCAGCTGAGGCCTGAGGATGTGGGGTACGACACCTTCAGCGCCAAAGAGGGCCCTCTCAAGCAGACGTCTCACGGCGAATCCGAGGGCGACCCGCTGGTAAGAACGTGGCGAGACACATTCCGCCATCCCCTCGGGCGGCAGCCCCACGCTGCCCCCCAGTGGTAAGCCGCTGCGCTCTCTCCCACCGCAGATGAACATGCTGATGAGACTGCAGGAAGCTGCCAGCTACTCCAGTGGCCAGGGCTGCGACAGCGACGACTCCAGTCACCGCGACAAGCCGCTGGACTCCTCACTGGAATCCACACTGTAGAAGGATCCCCCTTACCAGCCCTCACTGGGGACAGCGTGTGGCAGCCAGGGCCCTGGGACAGAGCTGCACCGGAGCTCGCTGGTGTGTCAAGATCCGGCCAATCACGGAGACGAGTCCCAATTCGTCACGATGTGTCATCGTGCACATGGGGCGCAGAGTAGGCGCCTCAAGGGGGCCGGGGGGGGGTTGGTGCCCTCATTCAGACAAGTGTCCCCCCTCAAACCAGGACCACCCCCCGAATCAATGACTGTTACCACAGCCACCCCCCCTCCAGCAGTCAACACTGCTTCGGNCATTCAGACAAGTGTCCCCCCTCAAACCAGGACCCCCCCCCCGGTCAACAACTTTTATCGTTGCCACCCCCCCTCCAGCAGTCAACACTGCTTCGGTCAGATATTTTCTGGTGCTGACACTGCTGGGACGTGGCCTTTAGTTTGTGAAACCGGGTGTCCAATGTGGCCCGCAGGCAGTGCTAAATAATCTGCGTCCAAGTTAAACTGGAATTTCAATTTTGTTCTATGGTTTTATTACGCTCGCCTGAATGGCAGTCGCGCTGGGCGACTTTACGTTACATTTACTGAGGTGCTACGGAGAGACTCCTCTCCGGCCCAAACCCTGACCTCGGCAGAGCCCCGTCCACACTGGTCATATGACTGGTGCCAATTTCTGGTTTACAAAATGGCCGCCCCCGCTTAGAGGTCTATACAGCCCCATTTGCCAAAAATAAAGCACAAAACAACGGTGCGACAGCCAGACGATGACTACTGTGAAAAACTGGACGCTGCAAGAGAAGGATCCTCGGGCGCGGTCGTGCTGTTCACCTCTCTCCTCGGGTTTTAGATCCGCTGTCGTCTTCGATTCGCCTGCGTCAGACTCGCATAGCTACTCATCCTCCTTTTATGTGAACTATAGCAACCGAATGCTGCTAACCAGAAAAAATACGTAATTTAAGAGCAAATTTCCAAAACTCATTCCATGCATTTTTTTTGTTGTTGTTTTTCAGATGAGGCCGCCAATGACATAAAGTCTGGCTTCCTGATCATCTGTTACAGTATTGGGAACCAAAACTCACACAATTCTCATGTAATCCAACAAAGAACTTTCATTACATTTCCAAAACTCACTAAGTCCACAGAGATTTTTAAAAAATGTATCTCGTGGGCTGCGCGAGTTTTGGGAATTTGCTCTTCACTTAAGATGAAAAAGAAACATGGTTGTTATTATTAAGGGACCGCAAAGGGAACCTATGAAGGTGGCAAATCCGACCATGGTGCTTTCTCTCTGCCTTAAACGGACGTGCAGGGTGTCCAGCGTGTTAGAGGAAAGGCAAATCGACAGCCAGATTGCCAGGTGACCATGGTCAGGCCTCAATGGCGGGAGGGAGCGTGTTCTCGCCTCTTTTCCCATGGACGACCTGCAACTAGGTGCACCTAATCCTGCTATGTCGGGTTTTCTCCCGCAGCCTACTTCAAAGAGTACATATGGTTAGAAAAACACTAGGGGAGGACTGTGTGCCCAAAGGAAGGGTCTGAGTCTGTGTGTTTTTTTCTCAGTAAATCTGTCATCATTTGAATAGGAATGGGCAGAGCCCTTCATGGCCAGGCAACAGGTTTTAAGTGGCTGCGATACGAGGGGGGAGACCTTATTTACACACGGCCGCCAGCGAGGGCTGGTGAGTGCCGATGTGCAGAGAGTAACTGCTTAGAACTACTTTGTCTTGTTTCTTTAAAAAAAAAAAAAAAAAAAAAAACAGGGCTGGTTTTGCACAGTTTCTCGGGGTGGGAAAGACTGTAAATAAAAATTTCTAGAACCAGGGACTCAAAGACGCTTTCCACCCTCCCGGTTAACCTTACGCTAAGCTGAGAATCTTTATCCCTGTGCTGGCAAGGGGAGACACAATAGCAGACTGACAGCAAGACGAGGAAGGAAATGTCGAAACAGTCCAGCATGCTGCCCCCTACAGGTGTGGCTGCTCATAGCGGTTGGTCATTCTCTGCAGGAGCTACATCACATATTAAAGCATGTGCCACTTTGGTGACTTAAAAAGAGAAGTTGCTTAAATCCTTATTTGAAGGAAGAGAGCATGATATATCCGTCTTATGCAGCAGTGTATGAATCAAATAAATTATTCAATGACTCGTAAAAGCACGCAGAATATAGCATCTTCGGTAGAGAAATAAATAAGCATACAAGGTACGATCGCCCAAACGCAGTTCAATGACATTGCAGACGCAGGATAATAACCCAGAGGCAGAGTTCTACTCAACGGAGATAGGATAATACTCCACAGAGAAAAAAAAATAACAAAAATAAAAATAATTAAAGTAGATTTCAGTTTCACCTTTTCCCTGCAGACATCATGGACCGATAAAGCATGTTTAACTTACTCATCCTTTCCAGTATATCTGCAGAACTACGTCATTTTTCATGTTCAAAACAACACTTTCCTCTGACATAATACCCAGTATACACATGGACCCTATTAGATTACCACTCTACATTCCGTGCTGTGTTGAGGTGCAGCAGGGGGCAGGACGGGGTCGATTCCTCTCGGTTTCAGCGGCCTACTGCAGTTGATGAGCTTCGCTCACCTATCGGGTGAGATCCGACTGCAGTTTACGACTCCATATGCAGTCACTGGTGCCAAACCTCAGGACAATCCTGCTTTCTGCAGGCGACTCGTAAGCCTTGTGAGCTGCACACTGCCCCTGCCCAGATTCAACATACACATGGACAGTGCCAGATCCAGGATCAGCGCAAGCCTCTCGCACAAAGTGTTCAGTGTCAGGCCGAGGCAGCTGATGCTGGATCATCCTGGGGTTCCAAACTGCCAATAACAAACCGATACTTGCCAGTCAGGCATTACTAATCAACCACAAATGAACAAACATAATTTGAACAGATGTACTGCAAGCTGTTCCAGCTCCACTGACAAAAGCAGCCTGCTGCTTGGTTAACAGAACCCAAGCCCACGCAGACCTGTGTAGGCCATGGTGAGTACATCACCCCAGTGACGTGTTCAAGATCCATCTCAGTCAGTGCGTGGCATCTACTGCTTGGGAAATCGCTCTTTTCAATTTTTTTTTCTCCGAAGCATTGTCTTTAAATGTTTTATATTTTGTACATTTGTATGTAACATATGATGTAAATAGACAGAGCGATTTAAATCATCAGAGGAATTTTGTAGTCTTTGTAAAGCCCTAATAAATGGTATTTGGTGTTCCAAAAACACACGACGTGGTGACTTATTTTAAAAATCTATTTCTAATCCTTGTGGGTCCTTGTAGATTCCTTCTGATCATTCTGGTGTGATGGGTAAGAGGAACCGGAGTCAAGGGCGCACGCAATTTTCCTTTGAGTGGTGAAGGTTATTAATGGAGGTCAGTGTGAATGTGGTGGCCCCTTCAGGGTGGTCGTCCCCTGATCTGCACATGTGCAGGAGGGTCAGTGTGAATGTGGCGCCCCCTTCAGGGTGGTCGTCCCCTTGATGTGCACATGTGCAGGAAGCACACGCACCGCTGACTTGGCCATTCCCATCTCTCCTCAGCTTCTTCCCAGAGTGGGCTTTATGTCTTGCAAGGGGACACTGCCCCCCCCCTGCCCGGGCACCACTGGCCCAATGCTCTCTGCAGAAAATTTTGACTGGGGGGGAACATCAGAGGCCAGTTATATTTATGGGGGCTGGCTGCACTGCACTGTGTCTATTTTCTGCTTAGAACAGAAAATAATCCATATTTCTATTTTATTATTTCGATGTGTGGTGGCACACTGAGTGGCCACGTATTTAGATCTGCCCGTGCAAAGAATGCCATCTAACATAAGGATACGCTGATGGTGTAGTAAGAGGGCTGATTGATAAGGTCCCCAACTGTATAAAATAAGCTTCTGATAGTATAAAATAATAAAAGTGATAACAAAATGAAGACAATTTATTTCTCTTAAACATTGTAAACTTATTTTTCAACAGATTTACTGCTTTACCCCATTTACTGCAGCACATTTTTCCAAACGCACTGTCTGTCATTCCATTCCGTCCATGAAGAAAGTTCCTGCTTGGTTTCTGATCCATTTGCGCACAGCAGCTTAAAGTTCGCCATCCGAGGAAAAAATGTTGTCCTTTTAATGTCTCGGTGATACGCTGCACTATTTCTTGACTAATGCCTAACTTCAGAGCAGTTTTTCTCTGCTTAATTCGGCAATTTTCTTGAATCATGGCACCCAGTCTGCTTTGGTTCTCATGAGTTACTGAAATGGATCGTCCTGGTCTTTGCTCATCAAAGACACTCATCCTGCCTTTACTACAGCTTTTGGCATGTCGGGCCCACTTGCGGACATTTTTCACATCTATACATTCATCGCCATAAATTGCTTTCATAAGCCTAGGAATTTTGATTCATGCGCAACCTTCCAGTGTCAAAAACTCTATTACTGAACGCTGTTTTATACATAACTTGGATGTAGCTATCAGTATTAATGAACACTATTGCTTATAAGCTTTATACATTGAATTGAAACATTGAACTAATCTCGTTTACACTACGCTGTACCGGTTACCAAACACATTTTTCTCACTACCGGAAATGTCAGGTGGCACTTATCAGCAATTATACTAATCTGCTTATTTTTAAGCACTGATTAATATAAAATTATATTACTTACATATTTCTATATAGCAAATAAATAATAAAACATGAGCAGCTCCACAAAAGGTAACTGATGTCTGTTTGGTATTTTTTATTTTTTTTTTTTAAATCAATTTTGTTATTCTAATGGTTGCTGCCATCTAGTGGATAGGTAAAGTAATTGCTTGATTTCTGTATGTGCTCCGAATCCTAAGGCTGCTTTCCGATATTTCGAGGTTGCATTTGGGTCCTGTGACCCATTAGCTGTTTTAAATTGGCCCTGAAGATCACACAGTAAGGAACAGGGTTTCATAACAGATATTTGGGGAGACTGGACTATTGGGTTGTAGCCCCAAATATTTTTTCTATAGCCCCAAATTTAACCTGCCGGTCATAAGTTACATTCCCTTTTGAATGGTGGGGCCAAGGCATAGGCTGACGTTACTATCGCATACTTTCGACAAGTTTGACCATTTGGATCCTCAAAGCCAATCCTTGGCAATCCTTTGGCCCCACAAGTAAGGGTTAGATATTACTAGGGATGGGCCCAGCCACATTTTTTCGGTTCCGATCCGATTCCAATACACCAAGGTTTCTCAAACCAGTCCTCGGGGACCACCAGACGGTCCACGTTTTT